TCGTGCGTTCGTTGGCTCGGCCGTCTCGCGCCAGCTGATCTCGCCTCTCATTGGTCACTCTTTTTCGTTAATAACTCGCAAACAAAGTCGCGCTAAGGATAAGTTGCTACCCTACTGAACATGCATCCGTGACCACAGTTTTTAAGGCGGCATAAAATATGGTAAAATTAGTTATTAACTTCCAAATTAGCAAATGGATTCAAACTTTTTTTCAATTTTCTTGTAACGAAGACTTCATTTTGAATGCTATTTAAACAATCACACATTCAAATATTATTTAAATAATCACATATGCAATGTAGACAATTATTAAATAAGAAATATTAAAAGTAAAATAATGATAATAATAATAATAATAATAATAATAATAAATAAAAATAATAACTATTAATAATATTATATATATTACACATATTATTATACTGTTAATAACTAAATAATAATAATAATAAAATAATAATAATAATAATATTATCTATTAAACTAAACATCAAAAGCTCACCATAAAGAGTGGAATAATTAAATCAAAATCTTCAATAGGTAGTTCAAATCAAAACGTTCTCGCTAGAAAAAACAGCGTGAGTCAACCAATCAACTTCTGAGAGTTTGCTTCAGGCAATCGATTTAAGTCCATTAACCTTAAAATTGAGATAAATGCGGACTTTGTGAATCACAGCTCTACGAAAATAACAACGCCACTAATTATACAAAGCACAATTTTTATTGGAAGGAAGACATACGAATGAACTTAACCAGAAGAGAAACAACAGCAAAATGTCAATGTTTCTTTTAGAAAAATCATTTCCCTTTGAACAATTTTGTTTAGTCATTGCGAGGTAGATATATAACTGCTGCTATCTATTGTTTATTTATGAAGAAGTCGACTATATTGATTTATCGACCGGAAGATCTTATGATAAAGCTGTGTTTGCACTGCGTAACTCATTTTCAAAGCGGACTCGTATGGACTTACACTGATTGGCTTCTGAACCGTCTCTGTGATTTATAATATGAATGCATATAGCATAAATACAAGCAATATAATCTGAATGACATTTGACAGGAATTATTGAAGATCGTGGCGTATAAGGATACATCTCACGCTTTGTCGAATTAGTATAGATATACAGTAAATTCTCCCTAATTGACGCTCAGATTGTGCACAAAAATGGACAATTTGGGAAAAAGAGATACGATTATCTTATAAAATATAATAAAAATAGTTTAGAAGATGTTGTAGAAGTTTTAGATGTTTTAGAAGTTGTGACAACGATCACTGGTTTTTTCTTATTTTAAAAAATAAGGGTGTCGAGATTATCTTTGTGGAGGGTGTCGAGATAACGAAAACAACTCTATTATCACGTTCCGCGCCGAGTTGTTTTAATTCGACTCTTCGCACCGAGCATTTGATATTTTACTAAAACTTGTAATAATATACAATAATATATAATATATATAAATATAATAAATTACATATTATAATTACTTATATAATTATATAATTACTTATAATAATTACTTATATAATTATAATGACCCTTATAATGACCCACTCTTGTGGTGGAAATTAATTCTTCAGTTCTAAATTTGTCATAATTTTGTATCATATTTTTGTAGCGCATTAAATAAGCAGTGGTGCTACACGTGGCACAGAAGTATTAAAAACACACATAGATTCAAATTTCATGGAAGTAACAGTGTATAAGATAAAGAAAACGTCTCCATTCGGATAGCAGGACTCAACGAAATAATAGTGTCGAAAATCGGTGGAGCGCAGACTTTCTACAGCGACTGTAGACGAAACTAAATCGCGAGCTGGCTCTATCGGCCGGGTCACATGGTAACCCACATATCCCGAAACTATCAGTCCGGCCGCCATCTTGTAGGCCGCGGCAAGCTCAGTGAGCCTCGGCAGCGTGGCTGGCCTCCTACCATCATTTAAAATCCCGTTTGAAATGTTATCGAAATAAACAGCAGAGCGGAAGGACAATGACTTCTGTTCCCGGTCGAGACCGCCTATAAACAGCGGAGCGTACTCGACCGATGGAGAAGAGGAGGCGAAGGAGATCGCCGCGGGGAACCGTTATACCAACTCTCCGTTCGATTATCGACAGTCACCTGGCGGAGGTGGCGCGTATTCATCGCGCCAGCTCGCGTTCGCGTTCGGTGTACGCTTCGATGGAGCACAAATACAGGGTTCCCCGGAAAGAATCATCCGATTTCAGAAATTTATATTTTAAAAAATTACACACAGAAAATTATAATTCAAACACGAATATAACGGGAAAATGTGCGAGTTTTACTTTTTACCCCACTGGCACTTGCAGGTTCGGAATTTTCTTAACACGGAACTACCAAACCGTTGGATTGGTCGCAGTTCATCCGATAATATGGTTCTACACAGTTGGCCTCCGAGATCACCCAACCTAACCCCATGCGACTTCTTCCTTTGGGGATTTGTGAAGGATCTTGTCTTTGTACCGCCTTTACCTACAAGTGTAAATGAACTGAAAAAAACGCATTTGTGATGCTGTACAAACAATTACCAGAGATACGTTACACCGTGGTTGGCAAGAACTTTCATATCGCAATGATATCATACGTGTAACGAAAGGAAGTCATATTGAACACTTGTAAACAAAAACTCGCACATTTCCCACGAATATATTCGTGTTTGAATTATAATTTTCTGTGTGTAATTTTTTAAAATATAAATTTTTGAAATCGGATGATTCTTTCCGGGGAACCTGTACATATCTACTCTATGTCAAGTCCGGACCCCCAGATCTCCCGCGCCCGTAATCGTAATCGTCGGCTTGGTGGCCAGCTTAGACGATGCAGACTTCCTGTCGATTGCGCCGGCTAACGGGTCTTCCGGCCCCGGTCGAGCGATCGTCACGTTCGTTGAATGTTGAATGACTACGCACGCCCGGTTCGATGCTACTGCACGGTGCAACCGGAGATCGGGGATCGACGAATCCGTGACCGAATCGGCGACTAGAAGAATGACCTAATTACACGTTTCGTACGCGAGGATCCGCGGGTACCGTTACACATTAACGAGCGCCACGACACTTCGTCTCCTTTCGGCTACGGCCGGCGAAGCTCGTTAGCTTACGGCTAATTCGAGGTTTCCGGCGCTTGCGCTGTAACTATTGGCTTGGCAAGAAAGTAATTTCGGCTCGCGCCGATAGATAGCGTTACGTTCGCATTCGTCATTCTTTTGTTTAGGTTATAATTTTGTCGTCTTCGGCTTTGGTAGCTTTTTGATGATTTTTACAAGCTATGGCTATCCAGCGTGTGTTTATTTTAGAACGGTTTTATAGAATTGATACATTTAGAGTGGAAACTTTTCCACTCGTAAGAATGTCACTGGTCGCACGCGTAATTAATGGCTTGTTTATACCTGTGTCTATAAGAGATAAGACACAGGTATAAACAGGCCATTAATTACGCATGCTATATATATACTATTATATAACATTATAACACGAGTTATTAACTAATAGTATAATTATAGTAATAAGTAATAGTATAATATATTATAATAATATAAGAATATAATATAATATAACAATATAATAATATAATAATTTAATAATTTAATAATTTAATAATTTAATAATATAATAGTAACTAATAGTATAATTAGTTCAGTTACGAATGTAAGTGTGCACAATTCGAGAAATTTAATTGCCAATTCGAGAAGTGAGAGTTAAGTAGGATTTAGAATTAGAATGAAGATCCGCTGCCTACAGACGAAGTTCAGCGGCCACACCTTACTTAAAACACTTTCACATTTGATCTGTGTGTTGGTATTTTATTTTTTAACGCTATTCAGACTGTGTTATTAGACTCTATTCAGTGAAAGTATGTAGGGACGAATGTTTTTCTAAAAGAAAATTGTTCCTGGAAAAACGCTATTTTCTTAGTTGTTCTTTAACGCTTTCTATTCTCTGAGTAGTTTCTTGGGCTACGAGAGACTCTTTCTTTAGGTTCGGGAAAAATTTTATCAACAAGATCTGGTAGACTCTGAGTTAATATTATATTACGCTCTTATCTATTTCTCTCTAATACTTTTTAGAAGCAATCTTGCCTAAGATCCAACGCTAAGAATTTCTCTTCAGTAAACCTTCCCTGTAACAATTATTTATTATAACAATTATAATAATTAATGTAATATAATTAATATAACAATTAAATAACAATTATTTCGGTCGAATATGATCGAATATTCGGTCATCCCTAATGCAGTTCATCCACCTCTAATAATGTGTACTAATGTGTACAATCTCTTAAAAAATTCACAATTCTGAGTTACAGATTTTACCAAGTCAGCGTCACACACGTTTGATGAACACATTAACAAGAATGTGTGAAGTAGAGACTTTAGTGGGTGATTAAAATTTCAAATAATGGAAATTGTTAATATCGATGGCGGCGAAATGTTCTTTTATAGTAGGAAAACTAAATTTATTAAGAAAGTACATTGCACTCACTTATCTGACTTATTTAATCTTACAAGCTCTACATTGAAAACAACCTTACAATATAATGCTATGCTTTCTCTTTCTCCCTTTCATGTAAACCATACATTCTACCACTGTTAATAATTTTTAATTTCCTTAAGAAGCGCGACATTCATCCTTAAGCGTTAGGTACAGTACTTGATAAATTTACATGTGTCCAAAGTAATATGTAATAATATTGTATAATATATTGAATATGTAACAGTAATTTTGTAATAATATATTACAAAATATATTGCTAATAACCCCGTAGGAGGTTTCATAGCTTAATAATAAAAACAAAAAAAAACTTGTACGACCAAATGTATAATACACGTGTAAATATAATTTATCTGAATTTTTTTAATGCATCTGAAGAAATATGTAAAATTACAATGCATTTTATCATGCAATCATATGAGAAAGATCGACCAAAAATGCACTTCAAAGTGAAAATAGCGTATTAAAATGATCCTTTTCTTTCTGTTACAGTAATATGCTGATAAGAGAATTGGCGACCGCGTTGGTCGCCGTCCTCTTGTGCCATCTTCAGCTAACGGAGTCTCAGGTGAGCGTTCGATTACTATTCCGACTATAGTATTAGGTCTACCGGAAAGTTCTGTCCGTTTTTCAATTGAAATATAACACAATTTTCATACATTTACTAATATTTAGTGTAGAATATACTTTCCATCGTTACTTATGACTTCTTGCCAGCGTGATGGCAACTTGTAAGTGCCATTTTTAAAAAATGATTTATTTTTAGAGGCGAAGAACTCGGCTAGTGCTTGGTTGACATCAGCTTCAGTTTCGAATTTTTTTCCTGTAAAAAGTTTTGCAAAGAGAGAAACAAGTGATAATCGGAGGGTGCTAGGTCTGGGGAGTATGGTGGATGCGACAGAATTTCCCAGCCTAGCTCTGCGATTTTCTGACGAGTCGCCGAAGCAGCATGTAGTCTGGCATTATCATCGGTAGCCATGTTTTCACGATCGCGTCTCACTTAATAATGACATGAGACATCTTCGTTTCAGTTTATTTAGGAGAGTACATGTGTGTAAATGCAATGATAAAGAGAGACAGTCATATATGTCTCAAATCAACATGTGCATATGGATTGAAACTTGAAGTGACACTATCGGACAGAACTTTCCGGTAGACCTAATAAATTTTCCCTAACTAACGCCCAGCTTGTGGAAACAAAAATGGACCTCGAGCCCTCGGAAGAGAAGCCAATACAATTCGAGCCTCGCGGCTTGCCGAATGTCAACGATTATAAAAACGAGGTGTAAGGCTCGAATAATCGTATCTCCTCTTCCGAAATTGTCCATTTTTGTTTATAAGCTGAGCGTCAATTAGGGAGAATTTAGTGTATAGCGATCGCATCGCGGACAGCGTCGCATGAGAACCGCGGCTCCCCTTCGATCATTTCTCGCTGGTTTCACTTCGTGGTTCGATATGTGTATGCACATACCACTCTAATTTTTCTTTAATCGATAATCTCCTGCAATTCGCCTGGGAAATGCGCGCATACTTTCCGATGTTTACGGCAGAAGGAAATTCTGATGGCCTTGTGCAACGTGGTAGATGACGCGACTACTGAAACATTTCAATGCTGTGCGCCTCTTAGACGGGGGAAGCTTAGGGAAATTCAACGAATGTTGCAACATTCTCTTGATTTTACCACTTAGAGTGCACATTTTCTCCGCAGCAATTCAAACGCTTACATCAGACACAGTTTCAATCTGCTTGTTACAATATTCTCAAATTCTCGGTTAAAAGTGAAATCAAACAATTTTTATTGAAATCTTTATGCGTCGCAAATTTAAACCGTCGAAAGCCATATAAATTTCTTCTGACTGTTAGAATCAAAATTATTATGATATTTATACGTTCTCTTTTATTATGGTTACAATGAATTATTAGAAAATAAGCAATATTAAAAAAGAATTTAAACTGCTTGTGTGTTCACAATCATTTTAATCGTGTTAAGAATTTTGTTCTTATTTTCATTGTAACTAAAAAAGAATATTTTTCATTTAATTTATAAGGATAATTTAAAAGGATATTTTTTAATTTAATATTATAGTCTTTAATATCCAATGTTATTAATCTGTATTATTAGAAGTGATGTTTATATTTATATAAATTGTACATTGCATAAAAACAAAAGTATTTTTATTTTATTTTGTGATAGATCCTCGCATAGAGTACCGCCACATTAAATTGTCTGCGCACGCACGTGACTTTGAAAGTAAAAATCGTCAGGCAAATGGTTAATAGACTTTTCAATTATTAAGCGCCGTGTAAAAAAAGCTCGATATAATTTTCTTTTACACAATAATTTCAGAAAAAGTAATTCTATTAGTCGACTCCAAATAATTGATTGAACTATGGTTGAAATTGCTGCCGCTTTTGAACTATTATTTAACGAATTCTTAACCGTTGAATTTCGAGTTTAATTAATTAATTAATTGATTAATAATTAATTTCGATATATAGAGTATTAACGTATCAATCGTTTTATTGGTAAAACAATTATATAGATGTAATAAAATTCCCGTGATAACTACAAGTATATCAACGAAATTGAAATAATTATAATTGAAAGCATATGAAAATTATAGAAAATATTGTCACACTATTGATTATTTAGTGCTATTACTGCATCACTAAATAGGCAAAGAAAATGCAGACGTTAACGAGGTTAGAATATCCCGTTCAATGTGACAGGATCTTAAGCTGGTGACATTGGCCTGCGTTTAATTCGCTTGGAAACTAGTAACGATAAAAATTCCAATTAGCATGAAGACCCGCTATCTGCTTATCATATTCATCGGCCATTACAGAACGAGCATGCCGCGGAGATAACATTTCCAGTGCTTCCTCCATCCACATTGCGTCTAATCAGCCGGTGAATAAGTATCGATTACCGTCAAATCGTTCATAACGAGTCATCTAGATCGGTGTTAATTGCACATGACGGAGACGAAGCATTTTTAGAGACTGCTCCGAAATCTGCTGCAACAGAGATCTCACAAATGTGATTGGATGACACCATTTTACAGTACATTTCAAAGCAGTCTGCGAAAATGTCCTGTCTCTGTCATGTGCAATTAATTCCGCGAGCCCTTATCTAGATCTAAGGACAATGTTCTAAATACAAATATAAAAGAATGAAAAGTAGAATGAATTATTCGTTCGAATTGTTCTGCATGAATTAAAAGACACAATAAATATGATTATACAATATTTCAGTTATTGCTTTTTTAATTTATTTATTTAATGTCGCATCTGATTGGATAGCAATTTGCGACCACTTGTGGGATAACATTTGTAGGTTACATGTATAGTGTAATATTTATACATATATATTATTATATTAATTTTTACTTTTTTTTTATTGTCGTAACTGGAAATTATTATATTATTATATGTAATTATGTATTATATTATATATATATATAATAATATAATATTTTCTTAATTTAGGCTTCTTACGTTACTACATAATTTCGCAAAACAATTTGGTTTTTTCTAAGTATGACATAACTTTTGATGTTTGTTTGTAGTTGTCCAAACATTCTTTGACGGTATTGGGCATTTTTACTTTTTTTTTTATATTGTCGTAACTAGATATTCAATTCTGATGTGCTTAACTGTAAGCTCAGTGTTACAGTTGTTAAAAATTGGTTTGTCTGTTTTAGAGAGTATGTACTGGTGTGTTATTTTAGTATGCTCAATTCTTTGTCGAAATAACACAATTTGCTTCCTTCTTGTTAGATATACTGCGGGGTTGGTAGAGAATATACTTTCTCTGAGTTCATGTAGGAGAGAGAGCTTTGAATGTATATCCATTCTTGGTTCCACTTATACCAAATAATTTCAATTATATCCAACATTAAAAACAAAGAAATAGAAAAACGATCACTATTTCTACCTTACTGTATTATGAAACATTGCACTAATTTGTAATTTCTGCACGTTAAAAAATAAAATTATATTTACTTTTAAAAAGCTGCCAATATTTCTGTGTTATCGTTTCTCTAAATGCAGTGTTCTTCCTTCTGATTAAGTATTCTACCTTTTCTAATCAATTTTCTAATTAGGAGACAAACGGAAATATCGATAAACTTTTTCTTCATCATTCAGTAAATGCTTGTACAATGTTTGAAATTCTGCCTCAGTTTTTCTCAATTGTTCACTCCTGTGTATGCAATACCTTTTCTTTCTTACTTCATTATTCTCATCTTCATCAATTAACAATACCGTTAAAGCCAGTTCGCCAGTAGTAAAGTCTGCCATATTTATCACTTTTTACGGAACGATACGATACGGATTTTCCAGTATGCCGATGTGTCACTGATGCGTTACGAACGTGTGGCTGACGGGTCGATGCCGTTATGTTGAGTGTGCGACATGCTGTAAATCGCGGACAGCACAGAGTTTGACATTATTGGGATTGTTTCGAGCAAATATTTCTCTAAGATAATTGTCGGAATTTTAATCGAATATTTCATTCGAATCATTCATAGACTGAAGAAGTATTATTTTATTTATTTAGGAGAATAATTCTTTATTCGAACAATTCGAAAAAACTCTTCATGCGAGTAATTTTTTATTTGAATAATTCGAAGAATTCTTTATTCGAATAATTCTTGATTTGAATAATTCGAAGAAATCTTTATTAGAAAATGATTCGAAATATTCTGTATCTGAATAATACGAATAACTCTTTATTCGAATAATATTCCATTCTAATAATTCTTTATCTGTATAATTCGAAGAATTCTTTATTTAAATAATTCAAAAAATTCCTTATTCAAATAATTTTTGTTCGAATAATTCGAAAAATATTTTATTCGAATAATTTGAAATATTCTTCATTCGAATAATTCGCGAAAGTAATATGGCAGAAATAAATCGATAAACTATGAAAAAAAACACTTCATATCAATTCATTTTATTCAAAATCAATTATTTTCCGTATGAATCCTTTGCACGAATAAATTCTTACTCGAACAAAATGTCATTCGTATGAATTCTTATTCGCATACACATTTTTATCTAGATAAATCGTTCGATTGAGAATATGTACTCGAGTGTCGAATAACATTGAATTCGGATAAATTGCTATTCAATGAAGTTTTTTCTTCGATTGAGAATATTTATTCGACATATTTATCCGAATCAAATTTTGCGCACCCCTGGGACAACTCTCAAAATTGCTGGTATTATGCCGTGTTGTTAAATGTGCGACAAACAATCTCAACTGGTTACGGTTGGCCCGAGAGTGCTGCTGTTGAGTGGGCGACGGCCTTAAACAATCCCCGCGGAACTTTTCAGTTGCAACGGAATCGACGATAATCTATCCCCCTGAATAGCATTCCATGATAGGTACTTTTACCTTATACGTTTCGTGTATTCGCCAGAAAATCTCTCTTGAACTTTGCGGAGCCTTTCGCCTTGGCGAACACATTTCCTACGGAGAGAAAATGTTGCAACTGTGCGGACACGTAACATTGTGTTCGCGCGTACTAGCTATCGTCGCGGTCGCAGTCGCGGGCGAGC